TAAATAAATAAATAAATAAATAAATAAATAAATAAATAAATAAATAAATAAATAGATAGATAGATAGATAGATAGATAGATCAATAGGGACCACTTCGGTGGGAAGGTAACAGCGTTCCGTGTCTAAGTCACACTGGCCATGTGACCGTGGAAGATTGTCTTCGGGCAAACGCTGGCTCTGTGGCTAGAGTCGAACACGACTGGATAAAAATTGTCAAGGGGAACCTTTATCTTTACCTTACAGCAATGCCACAGGCTGGCCACCTCCTACATAGGGATTTATCCTTTTCAGTTTCCTTAAATGTAAGCTTGGCTTTATGCTTCCTTTCCAGTGCACGGCTGTTCAAAGAAGAGCCAAAGATGATCAAACTCAAACCATTCCTGCAAGCCTGAGAAGGCTTTACAATGTAAGGCTCCAGCTGACCTCTGTCAAGCTAAAAAGCAAACTGATGGCTCTGGTCATAGGAAAACTATTCTTGAGAAAATTCTATTTTAAAAGCCCTCAATATAAATCAAAGAACTACACCCAGTAATAAGAGGGCGATTCATTTGTACAGGAAGGGCACTTTGAAGGGAACGTTTACAAGCAAAACAATGCTACCAGCACTAGAGAAATATTAGGAAATGGAGAAATAAACACTAGGTATGTAATTCATGTTGCTGCAATACAAAAGCAGCTTTCTAATGTCTTTTTCCTTTTTGTTAAAGGGAGGGCCTGTGTGTGGCTACAAAAGCCACAGAATTAATAATAGGAGAAACTTAGGGCTGAAACTAAAGAACCATGCAGCTGGTCCTTCCTACCCAAAGGAAATCTGACCGTGGGATGCACCGAATAGGGCCTGGTAACTCCTGAAACCAGTGGAATTCCTTTCAAGGCAGTTGGTGATACGGTGTTTAACGGAGAGAAGGGAGGTCTGGCTCCAAGGAAGCCAGCTGAAAATTCCACCAAGAAACATGAAGATGAAACACAATTTCCCTCACCTTTCTGATCCTTAATCATCCTTTGTTCAAATCAATGTTCAAGTTCAAATCAAAACAAATTTATCAGTTTTAAAACCTCCATTCCTCCCCATGGTGCTGTGTTACAGAAACCTCCAGCAATTCACCACCACCCTTCTTACAGTGAGTGCACTTAGCAGTGCTTCAAAAGACAAATGGGACACTGGGAGAATGGTGCACATGTTTTGCTAGAAATGCATGTTCATGAGCTTGCAAGCCTATTTTTTGTTGAGAGATTCTTTACATGTATTAAAGAGGTTTATTGTTTTGGATTTGTAGTTCTAATTGTTTCATTTTTAATCGATGTTTCTATTTTATTTCCCTCATTTCCAGTTCTAGCTGTCTTTTTTGAGCCTCAGCCTCTAGCTGTCTCTTTTCTGCTTCAGTCTTTAGCTGTCGCTTTTGAGCCTCAGCCCTTTCTCTCACTTTCTAAGTTTTGGATTTGTAGTTCTAATTGTTTCATTTTTAATCGATGTTGCCTCTCTATTTCCCTCATTTCCAGTTCTAGCTGTCTTTTTTGAGCCTCAGCCTCTAGCTGTCTCTTTTCTGCTTCAGTCTTTAGCTGTCGCTTTTGAGCCTCAGCCCTTTCTCTCATTTTCCTTTCTAAGTGTTTTAACTGGAATTCATATTCTTTCTCTATTTTTCTTTTTAGAAACTCTAGGGCGTTTTCTCTCCCTGAGGCATCCTCTTGTTCCCTTGGGCTCACATATTCCTGGCCCTCTTGGTCTGAAATTTCCCCTTCCTGAGGTAAAGTCTGATTTTCAGCAAGTTCCATAACTGCCTTCTTCCCTCTCCTGGAAGTCATACTTAACAGTTTATATTTATTATTAAATTGGTAGGCTGCTTTCTCACCAATTCCAATATACAAACCCCAGTTTAAAAGACCTCTTTTTTCTGTGTTAGAGATTTAAACTATGTAACTTTCTTTTGGCAGCTTAAGATCGCTACATTGTATCTTTGGACTTGAGCCTTGCTGTTCCTTGTGTCTGTTACTTTGTATCTCTTGATCTACAGACACCCAGATTTTCCAAGCAATATTTTTCTTTTCCAATAAGCCTTTCCAAATCCTCCTCAGCTATTTATCTGGACTTAGGCATCCACTTTATTTCCCTTTATGCTCCCTCTCCTCAGAGCTTTGGAATCTAAAGCTAGCCCTCTTGGTCCTTACACTCTCAGCTTGAGGTAAACTTTTAACGACAGAAATCTTGTCAGAGTCCTTTTCCTGCCTTTGTCTTTCCACACTTTCAGGAGTCCTTATCAAGCTATTCACCTTAAACTTTAGGGTTTCCTACTCCTTCACTTGGACTATTGACAACCAGGTCTCTTAGACTCAAAGGCTTTCTTTTTATTCGTGGCCAGCCTAATAAATTTCACTTTATTATGGCTCACTGGATTTCATTCGAATCCCAACCTAATAAATCTCTCTCTTTTTTTGGCTCACTGGATTTCCTTCGAATCCCACCGCTGCCACCACTTTATGTCACAAACCTGTTCCTCTGTTTGTTTCTCCACACAACCCAGGTTCACTTTTGGGTGTGACGTTTATTTTTTTTTCCTTTTCCGCTGCCACCAGAGGAGATATTCCTCACTATATCAAATAGGACTCTTCAATCAAGTATTATTCAATAAATCAATGTTTATTTAAGTGTTCATAAGTAAATCATATAAAGTAAATCATGGATGGTCTTATTTTATTCATCTAATCACTTGTACTTTTATAACATTTATATTTGCTTAGATAGAATCATGTTAATCCACGTATTTATTCATTTCACATCCTATTCTCTATCTCTCTATTCTTCTTTAACACAAGACTGGTCCTAACTGCTTAAACTGCTTTTCTCCAACTCATATCCCTAAATCTTCTCTAATTTGAAACTCTAACACAGACCCTGACTGAAATCCTCTCCAACTCAGACTCTAACTGCTCTTTAACTGTCATCCATTCTCTTATATATCCCTACTCCCACCTTTTCTGTACAGCCATTGGCTCCTGAATCAGGGTTCCATTGTGATGGACAGGAGTGGTTACTGACCTGTCCGTCACAGTTACATTATCAGGTATGATGACATAAGTAACTGGCTTGATGCCCACATACAGAGGGCCACCTTGTTATGCTATTCAAAAGTCTAACATCATTAGTACTAGCCCTGTGGTAGGAACTGAATTTAGTTTTCTCCCAAACCAGTGACACATCTACAAATAAAGAAAAGGAAGAGTAGCAATGTAGTAAGGAAGCAGTGTAGCAGGTAAGCATCAGTATGTTGGCAAAATCAAAGGGGAGGGGAGGGGAGGGGAGGGGAAACCATTTTCTGCCACAGTTGATTCCAATTTAAGCCTCATCAGAATGCTACTGGTAATGTAAATGGGCAAATTTATATCTCTTTTTTTAAATAACTCTATTCAGGATTAAACAGGACAAAGCCTAGATTCGGTACCAAAGCTTCTAGAGATGGCTTCTTTGTGTTCCAGCATGCTGAAGACCTTCATGGTTGACCTTCTGTTGCAAACAAAGGAGATCCTGTGGAGGAAGTGAGCACTGGGCAGGAGACCCTGATATTGTCACTACTCAAATCAACTCCAAAATTACCACAGTTTCCTGTAAGAATATGTCACCTAAGCCAGTGGTTCTTAACCTTTGTTACTCGGATGTTTTTGAACTGCAACTCCCAGAAACCCCAGCCAGCACAGTTGGTGGTGAAGGCTTCTGGGAGTTGCAGTCCAAAACTCCTGAGTAACCCAAGGTTAAGAACCAGTGACCTAAGCAACATGGGTGACTTTGAGCATGGCCCTGAGTCCTTACCAGCTGTAAGGAAAAGTCTGCCAACTTGGGAGAGGTGACTGAGGACAAAGGAACTCCCAAAGAAGAACTGGAAATTAGGGCTGCAGAAGAGCAGAAAACATTCTGCAAGTCAAATCAAAAATAGGGATGTCCCAAACAATAAATTCTAACTAAGAAACTGGACCTCGGATCAGTACCAAATTTGGCACGGATGTAGAAGAACATCTGCTCTTGCTCTGTGCAGAATATGGGGGTGTTTGGGTAAAGGGTTTTTAAATTGTGATTTTTTTAAAAAAAAAACAGTTTTACCACCATAAAGACACAAGAGACCATAAATCTGCAACCCTTTTAAAAAGATGAAAAACGTTAATACCTGAAAAAGAACATCTCGCTTTACCAGCTTCTCCCCCACCCTTCAGAATGATTGAGCCATTCATGGCTCTAAATGAAGCTGTTTAATTAGTGCTTTTGAAAGCCTGAAATGTTTTGAAATTTGCTCTCTTCCTTATTACTTTGAACATTATAAACTGAGCTATTTGCATCACATGGCATTCTGCTCAATCAGAATGTGACTGCAGTCAGCAAGACAAACTATATAAGGCAAGGGTCAAAAGTCTGTCACTTTTAACCCTGCCGCAATATGAAAGAAAGCCTTTAACTCAGGCCACACATCTTGAGCTCCTGCCTGTGAAAGTATTTAAAAAGAGATTTTGAAAAATAAATAATAATATTCAGCAGCTTCCTCATGGAAGCTGTGAAATTACTGTTTTGTTTTGTTTTTCCTTTTCTGGCTGGGAATTACTTCAAACCATGTTTACCTGGTTTACTCATAAGTTTACCTTGTTTATTCATGAGCAAGTTTACCTGGCTTACTCATGAATATTGTAAAAGAAAATTTAAAGAAATTAATAACATTCAGAAACTCGCTCATTTAAGCTGTGAAAATACTGTTGGGGGCTCCATGAAATCAAGATCAGATACTGATGATTAGATATGATTTTTTTGGTGTGTCTGTTATCCTGGCCAAATCACCATCTAATCATAGATCCTATAACAATGGTGGAGGCGGGGTTTCACTTAACTGGGGCTTATTTTTGGAGTAGGGCTTATATCACGAGCATCCTGAAAAACCATACTAGGGCTTATTTTCAGGTTAGGTCTTATTTTGGGGAAACAGGGTAGTATGCATGATTTTGACCTTGGTTTCCAGTGGCATTCTTTGCTAACTCCAATCTCTTCCTTTTTTTCTCTCCAGAATCCAAAGGGACATATTTTGGAAACCATGTACACAATGGTTCTGTAGAGGTTTTGGTCCAATACGTACAGCTTTTCTTCCTCAGCTTGCCTAACTCAAAGAAAGGGACTGGAAATGGAAACATAGCTTTTCAGTTTGCATTTGGCAGAGCGGGCATGGCAACATTAGTTTAACAAAGAGACTAAAAAGTGTATTTGTTTCTCCATTGTATGTGTTGTATGTAATCACATCTTTGCTCCACCATTTCATTAAGTCCAAAAAAGCCCTTCAAAATATTTTGGCACAGAGAGACCAGGGCCACGTCCAAGCAGTTCCCACTTCTGTTTTCTCCCAGTAGTCATAATACACAACATATGCTGATCTTCTGGAACACTCTACCACTGGGTAATTCTATATGAGGGAAATTTCTAATTGAATTTGTGGGTAGCATACGTATATTTAAACTCCTGTTTTAAAAAGCCAGGGAACTCAATTCTTAAACAAAACTTCAGTTTATGAATGTGGCCTCTGTACATGGATACCAATCTTTACAGGTTTTTCATGTATATGTGAAAAAGTACAGGGAATCATGGCAAAATGCGGTATACTGGTTAAAAGCCTAGGCTTGAGCTCTTCTTCTTGACCTGTCAGTTTATGGACAAGAAATTATTAGCAGTAGCAGCACAGAGGAAAATTGGAGGAGGGCTCTGAGTAAGGGCCCATTCTTGGATGCTGACCCTAATATGGTGAAGGGGTTTGTTTGTATCAGTGAAGCTGATTGCAATGCTGTCAGGAGGCCAGACTCCATTACTACTGGATTCCTAGCAGGGGGACCCAAGGCAGCATAGTCACAGCTGAGGCACTAGATTAAGATGCATCTACCCTCTTCAAGTTCCAATAGTGATGGGTCAGCAGTTACCGGGCAGCAGAAGTAGCTGAAGGTGACACGGGAATAGGAGGCAATGGCAGTGATACTGAAGCTAACTTTTGTTAGTACTGTGCAGAAGGTGGCAATGGTAAATCACGACTGAACTTTCCTTATCATGAAAACTTTGTGATGAGACCGTCCAAAATAAAATAGGAGATCGTGTTAGATGAGATTCCCAGGTCAGAAAACACTCAATCAGCTACTTGGGAAGAGGAAAGGACAAGTATGAATGGCTCTATTGCTAATAATACTAGATTATAGCCAAATGGATGTCTAGTAATTCACATGCACAGAAAAATACAGACCATGATACCAGTGAATCAAGGTAGATCAGAAACCGTAAGGCAAATAAATGGAATGTAAAAATACTGTAATGTTTGGTGTCAGTGAAATAAGTGGGTTGGTACAGGAAGCAGGAGATAAAGAAGTTGTATTCTTTCTGCCAAAACAAGACCATGAGCAGATTGTGATACTGATAATGAAATGTTAAATTTCAAACAGTACTGTAAAGCTGAAGAGTGCTAAAAGAAATATAGTGCCAAATATAATCCGCCGGGACATCTCTCCTTTTTTGAACACAGTGAGTCGAGCAGAGATGTCCAGCGCTCTGTCTTGCCCAGTAACCTTTGACTCCTTTAGAGATATCCAGCGCTCCGTCTTGCCCGGTTACCCTTGACTCCTTTCAGCCTGTCACGCCTGATTCTGTGGCCAGAGTGCTTGACCGCTGTCGAGCCACCACCTCTGCCTTGGACCCTTGCCCGGCCTGGCTAATCAAAGCAGCCAGGCCGATAACAACAAAATGGGCCATTGCAATAATAAATGGGTCTTTCCTTGAAGGCAGGTTTCCCTCTGCCCTCAAGGAGACACCCATTAGGCCCATAAGAAAGAAACCTAGTTTGACGGCGGACAAAATTGGCAACTATAGGCCCGTCGCCAATGTTTCTTTCATGAGCAAAGTGGTGGAGAGGGTGGTGGCCAACCAGCTTCAGGCTCTCTTGGAGGAAACAGACGCCCTGGATCCATTTCAGTCGGGCTTCAGGCTGCACCACGGTACAGAGACAGCATTGGTCGCCCTGTACGATGACCTGTTGAGGGAGGCTGACAGGGGAAAAACATCTCTGTTAGTCCTCCTCGACATCTCAGCAGCCTTTGATACTGTCGACCACGGTATCCTCCTGGAGAGGCTCTTCGAGCTGGGAATTGGTGGCCTGGTGCTTGCCTGGCTCCGTTCCTTCTTGGAGGACCGCCCCCAGAGAGTTCAGCTTGGGGAGAGCGTCTCGGCCCCGTGGAGTCTCAACTGTGGGGTCCCACAGGGGTCA